CTGAGGTCGGCGGGCCCTCCAGCCAGGATGAAGGACACAAAGATCCCCTCACCATCTTCCCCTCCAACGATGTTGAAGCCTAGGCCAGTGGAGCCTTTGTGCAGGATGATTTTCCGGGGCTCCCTGGAAGGATAGACATGGGACAGCGAGACATCAGGGTGAGGAGCAGCGAAGCTGGTGACAGGGTTGGCCATGCCTGGGCTTCCCGGCACACTGGTGGGGCTGGAGTCACCCCAAGTATGACCTGGCATGACTCAGCCCTCGGCACCGGGGAGACTGATGAACCAGGAGAGGTGCAGGCAGTTGCATAAGTGACAAGAGGCAGAGCATGGACAGAAACAGAGCATCCCGCTGTGAAATCATGCACAGAAACATCGGACTGTGAGGTGGCATTGGATGCCACAAGCCTGGGCATTGAGGATGCTGCGGCCATCAAGAGGATGCTGGGGGATCAAGCCTCTCTGCACCTGTGCAGCATGGCAAGCATGCCTGCAACCCCACGCACCCCCACACCACAGGCCGTGCGCAGCTCAACAGAAGTCCTAAATTTTTCAATGATGACTTAATTCTTTCACAGCTCAAACAACAGGCAGGCAAAGGCAGAAAGACTGCCTGGCATCGCAAAAATCCTGTGTCAATTTTAGTCTGGGAAAAAACCTCAAGTCTGATGGGAACAATGGCAGCTCCCAGCTCAAGCGCTGGATTAAAATAAGAAAGAATAAATGATGCCAGACAATTAGCACAGGCTGGTGGTGACTGTCAGCCAACGCAACGCTGGGGACCATCTGGGGACCATCAGCGTATCTGCTGCAGTGACCAGCTGGGTCCCAGGTGTTTCAGTGGGTATGGGTAAGGACTGAGGACCTGCCAGTGAGCTCATCAGGCTGATCAACCCTGCACCTGCTGGGGAGCACAGGAAGATCTCCAGGACATGGTAGGAGACATGCTGGAGCCCCAAACAGGGTACTGCCCAAGGGCACCCTTGGTGGACCCTAAAATGCTGGCAGACTTGTGCTAAGGGGACCCTCAGACACTGGGGGGGCTGGCCCTGTTGGCCCCCCCAGCTGTTGCTGGCAGCCAGGGAAGGAGCAGGGCTCAGGTGGCATGAGCAGAGTGGGGACCCAGAGCAATAAGGTTTGGCTGAGCAGATAGCACAAAGCCCTGCAGCCTGGCAGCATGCTCCCAGGCTTCTCTTGCAAGAAAACATCTTTTTCAGCCCCCTGGGCCAGGCTGGAGCATCACTGCCATCACCTGGGCAGATGGGGTAAGGCTTTGGTACTTTCACAGATGCAGGCGGCAGGATTTTATGTCCGGGGACACATGCCAGTGCCTCAGGAAAAGTCTCCCACCATCCTTCCCCATGGGGGAGTCCTGATGGACTGAATGTCACTTAGCTCCAGGTAACCACCTTATAATGAGCAATAGGAGCAAGAGATGGACAGACAGAAGTGCAGGACACCTTGCAAGAAGGTCTTGGCGGGCTCCTGCCCAGCCCAGACCCCAGGCTCAGCACAGCCCGATCCTCCTGGCTCTCCCAGCCGCTCCTCTCCCTGTCCCCACACCTCCCACCAGGCACAGCAGCATCCCGGTCCCCTACCTCTTGTCACACTTGTTCCTGTGGCCTTGCCGCTGCCTGGAAGGGGACAGGGATGGCTGTCCCCTATAGGACATGACGATGAGACACTGACAGTGAACATTGTGGTGTGGCACACTCTGCTGGCAGTGCTGGCCAGGAGGCATAAGGGGCAGGAATGTTCTGAACGCTCTGTGGTGGTCCCACGCTGTCTCTTCCTCTCGCCAGCTGCAGGTCACCATTTTCCCCAATCCACACACAGGGTTTTTTATGGTAGCACTGAAAGGATGAAACCTTTGCTCTGCTAGACCCTACAGACTTAACTCCTTGCAGGCATGAACAGCACAGCCCAACTGGAGGGAGCGCTCAAGTGAGGGCAAATTCGCAGCCCAACTCCCTGTGCCTGCAGCTGCACACACCATGCATCACCACAACCCCTTGCCTTCAAATGCAGAGGTGCAGCAGAGTCGTAACTCCAACTACACGTTTCTGATGGGGCAGAGGCTGAATCTACCTTGTGACCTCCAGAAAATACCTGCTTTAGCCTTATGACCTTTGGATGCATTTGAGCTCTGAGCTAAGCGGGGCTCAGGATTCAGCTGGACTGTAGTGCAGGACTGGGATGCACTGGGACCAGGAGAAGACTGGGGGAACACCATGGAAATGCCATTGGGGTCAAAAGAGGCTCAAACCCAAGTCTTCAGGATGCCACCAGCATTTAGCTCAGGGGCGGTTGTGAGGGAGCAGGGAGGGCTGCAGGTATCAGCCTCTCTGCAGCAAAGCTATGCCTGAGGCTAGAGCTCTCCCAGGGGAAGAAATAGGTCATATTTCTGGGTCAGCAAACCCTGTCTCCAACCACCTGATGAACTTGTTCTGCCCCTTGGGTTTTGCTGCTGCCTACGCAGAGTGCAGGAACCACTACCCCAACTTGGCCTGGGGTGAAGCATCCCCAGCACCCATGAAGACCAGACAGTTTGGTGGAAGGTAGAGAGACACTACAGGAACCAAGGAGAGGAAATGAAGCCCAGACAGGTACATCTCAGGTCTCAGTCATGACGCACACTCTCTGCTTCCATCCTCATCCTGGGAGGCAGGACATGGATCCTGCAGGCAGATCCCACACTGGATGTTGCAGCATTAACACTGGGACGTTGGCACAGAGGAACTGTGCAGATCCTGTGGGGCTGTGCCGCATCGGGGTTGTAGTGGTGTTGCTCATTGGAAAACTGATGCTCTGGTCCCCTGGCCCTGGGTGCTGCAGGACATGAGGGTCACTGGAGCCACATCCACATTTGCAGCAGCACTTGTGCCTGCAGGATGGATCCAGGCCAAGACTTCTGCTTCTCCTGGGGAATGGCTGGTAGGAGCCTCCTGGGAGACAGCTGCTTTTTCAGGGGAGTTGCTGCCCTTTCCCACACCAGTAAGATGCATTTGGACGACACTGGTCCCACTACAGTCTTGGTGATGCATGAGCCTACAGATCTGTGGCGATGAAGCTGTCCTGGGGGGGTCGGTGATGCACATGAGGTTTTCAGCGCTGCCCTGGGATGGTTGAGGAAGGTGCTGAGCCCACTGCAGGCTGCAAATCTGGTGGGGAGCAGGGGCCTGTGGCTGGGGACGCTGGCCAAGTGGTGCCGGTGTGTCCGAGTGGGGCCCTCCACAAGGCAGCACCATCCTCTAGTGGCCACTGGCATGTACTGCACCAGGGCCACTGCCGAGATATCGCCATGTCGTTGCCAGTAGCCTGTGTCCAGCCCGGGGTGGGCTGCTCTCTCCACTCTCTGGTCCACAAATAAGGATGTTGGCACGTGTAGGAAGGGACACTCTGGTGACACCAGGGTCCCTGGTGAGAGACAGATGGTGCATTTTCCAAGTGCTGGGAGTCAGTCCCTCTTGTGGTGCAATGTAATGGCAGAAAGCACTGCTCCTGTGTGTGGCATCAATCCCCCAGTGCCCTGACAGCACAGGAGTTTCTATGCCCGACAAGGATGCAGCACGAGGAATGGGCTGTAGAATCGGCATCGTTGCTGCTGAGACCAGGTGGGAGAGATGAGGCATGGGCCGAGGCCAGTGCTGCACAGGTCATGGTGTGCAGAGGCACCTGGCTGCGGCCGAGCACCAAGAAGTGAGAAATCCCTGTGACAAAGGTGAGTGCAGCCACTCTCCGGGAGGACAGTGGACCTGACACCAGATGGCAAGTCAGGGTCTCCTGCTCTGGCATCCATCAGTGCCCTGCAGAACAGGACAATCCCAGCCAAGGCTACGGCATCTTCCACTGCAAATGCAACTCTGAAACCAGCCTGCAACCTTGCTCCTAATTGCAGAGCCAGCCCTAAGCCTAACCCAAGTGTCAGTCCTAAGAATACAGCCTGAGCCCTACAGCCCTGGTCCTGGGGATACCAAACCCAGAGCAGGCTCAGCACTGGCCCCGAGGCTGTTGCAAGCAGAGGGAAAGCTTGAGCTCGGGCAAGCAGAGCAGAACCAGCCAGGTCTTGCTCCTGTCCTTTGGAGATGTTTTACACTGTATTTAGGCTCAGAGCAATGTCTCTTTTGTGATCCTCTTTATTTCCTGGGTTCAGGAAACAAACCTGCTTCTGCAGCGTAAATGATGCTAGTGAGGAAAAGGGGGCTGTGCCAGGGCTGTGCAGGAGGCTGTCAAACCCAGGGCTGGCAGCTGGTGAAATGGCACCCGGGTGCAGGTGGTTTGGGATGCTGGGCTTGGTGAGCGCAGGAGGAGGAGCCCTACTTGTACCCAGAGTTGTGCCCCCTCTGGCCTCTCACCCTCAGCACAGCTCCACTTGGGAACAGCCGCCTTGCAGCCTGGGAGCCTGTGGCACTGCTGGCACCAGATGGCATGGTAAGGGCAGGGAACACCACCTTATGTTCCAGGTATTGTAAAGCAAGTAAGCGAATGAAGCTGAAATGCAGATGTGTAAGGCTCAGGGAGGAGCAGGAGGGGAAATGGAGAAGGGGGGATGCAGCAAGCCAGGGAATGACACAGCAGGGCTGGTCTCAAGGGACAGTGAACACAGAGCTCACTGTGGGGGCCCCAAGCTTTGCACCATGCACCTACAAGTGGGCTTTCGGGCAAGGTTATGCACCAGCAGCAGGGATGAGGTCAAGCAGCTAGGGAGAGAAAGAGAGAGATGGAGAAGGAGCAGGGATTAGGGATGCTCATGCCTGGTACTCACCTGGTGAAGTCCTCGTCCCCAATCATATGCCGAGGGATGGGCGAATACCTGGATGGAGTCACCTGGGGAGGGACAGGGTAGGCAGGCTTGCTCTCAACGCTGCCCAAGTAGCCCAGATTGGAGTTATGGCTTATGTGGTTGTCAGCCAAGGCTGAGAAGGCTGCAGGGGAGGAAAAGGGCATCAGGAGTAGAAATCCATCTGCAACGTGGACATGGAGACCAGTCCAGCATTGCCCGCCACCCCAGCATGCTCTGTCCCCCCCAGCCCTGCAGTGCCCAGGCTGCCGCCTCAGTGGCTCGCAGCGTTACGTACTGCTGGCATAGTCGGGGGGCGCATACATGTCGTTGAGGTGGATGTTGCCAGGCTTGGCCACTTTCAGGTACACCATGTCAGACGTGTTCTTCAGGGCAGCCACTGCCTCCTCATGCCGCACATCCTGCAGGTTCGTGTTATTCACCTGCCAGAGAGAAGGGGCTGGGTGACACAGATGCAGGCAGGAGGGCAGGCAGGAGGGCAGGGACCAAGGCAGTCCTGCAAGAGTGGAGTGGTTTCCCACAGGGTAGGTGCTGCAGTAGCTCTGGAGACAGGGTCCCATCTCCATGGGTTTGGCCCTCCTGCCTGCAGCTGGTGCTGCACCTGTCCCCCCCAAAGCACCATTCCAGCGGGGACCCCAAGGGAGTGGCACAGGACTGCCAGTGGGAGGGGTGCTGGGGTTCAGGATTGGCACTGTGGCATGGTGGAGACTGCCCGGCTTCGCCTCATGGCTGGCTGTGGGCATAGGGCTTACCGCGAGCAGCCGGTCCCCAATCTGCAGGCGCCCATCCTTCTGGGCAGCGCCTCCCTCGATGATCTTGGTGATGTAGATGCTGTTGTCCCCAGGGATGTGCTGGTTCCCAATGCCCCCTGCAATGCTGAACCCCAGGCCTGAGGGGGAGTGAGAAGGCAGATGAGGGGTGAGCGACAGACAGACGGAGCCCTGGGCTAGCACCATGGTCCCCTCTGCCTCGCTGGGCTCCCCAGCCTGCCCCTAATCTGGCAGCAATGGGCCACTCCGCTGCTGTGTGGGGACAGCCCAGCCACTGCACGCTGTGGGGCTGCCCCACACCCCATGCCCCATAGCATCCCACACTACTGGGCCACATTGTGGCATCCTGCACCATGGCAGTGCCACCTCACATTCCACATCCCCTATGATGCTGCCTTCCACCTCATGGCATCCCACACCGAGGGGTCACCCCACACCATCTCGTGGGGCAGCGGGGCACCCCAGTCCTGTGAGCAGAATGAGGGGTTCACCTTTGGGGCCCTTCATCAGGTTGACCTCCATGATGGTCTCAGGTGGGGGCTGCCGGCGGCGCACCACGAGCCGCACCACAGGGCCTGCTTCCTTCAGGGCCTCCACGGCTTTGCTGTGCACCACCTCGGAGACATCCACATCATTCACCCGCAGCACGCAGTCATTCACCCTGTGGGCACAGGGTGGCCGTGAGCTCCCCTGGGGAACCACCGTCCTGAGTAACCTCTAGACACCTCTGCCACCATCCTCTGGCTGCGCAGACCCTTGTGTGAAGGAGAGCTGCTCAAGCTGGCCAGATCCTGCCCTGCCAAGGTGAGAGCAGGGTCCCTCCCAAAGGGGGAAGGCAGCGGGCTTGTCCCCACAGCATGACCCTGGTGGAGACGCGAGATGAGGGGAAAGGCTGGATCTACTCCAGGCTGCAGGGGGAAGGATGGGAGCCAGAGCCAGGCGCAGGGAGGGTAGGAGGGGTGGCTGCAGACAGGAGGCTGGTGGCAGGGGACCATGGGCATCTCTGCACTGAGGGGACTTGGCTGTGGGGAAGGGACCGGAGGGGACAGGAACAATGGCAGAGGAGGGGGGCAGGAGCCTAGAGGGTCCCTGAAGAGATTCCAGGTGATACCCTGATGAGGCTGCTCCCCTGGCCCTGTACTCACCCCAGACGGCCGTCCATGGCTGCCGCTCCCCCAGGGATGATTTTGGTGATGAAGATGCCTGGGTCATCTGGAACGTGGGGGTTGTCGATTCCTCCCGCTATGCTGAAGCCAAGGCCAGAGTTACCCTGCGGGAAATCAAACACTGCATCTTTCCCCTGTGGGCAACTGCTTGCTGCCAGCCCTCCCGAAGTGGTTCCCCCGCAGCTGCAGCTGCCCAGGATGCGGGAGCCCTTACAGCATCTGTTGCACCCCAGGGTGCCCAGCTCAGGGGGCAGAGGGATGCACGGCCGGAGGGGAGGCTGGTGCTCATCAGCTGAGGCACTTGATGCAGCAGTGCAGAGCACTGAACAGATGGAGCAGGAGAGTGGGAGCCACTGAGGACCTCCCTCTCCACTGTGTCTTCTCCAAGAGACTCTGAGGCAGGCAGCAAGCTGGGGAAGAGGGGGTGGTCCTTGGCGGAGAAAACCTCCCCTTGCTGGCTGCTTCCCAGGAGGAGACACCGATGCTGCAGCCAGCATGGAGCAGTGGGGTTTGTGCCAGTCACCAGCACTCCACCCCTGCCCTCTGCACCCTGGAACACAGCCCCAACATGGAGCCAACCCAGGGACCAGCAGTGCTGATGCCAAAATTGGCAGGATTATGTGGAGGGGGCTGTCAGGATGGAGCAGGGTCTCCAGTTCTGCCTCCTCTTCCTTCTGGACGTGCTTAGAGCATCACTTGATTTTTGGCCGGCGAAATTCTGCCCAGGGAGAATCCAGGGGCCGTACCGTGTCTCCAGCCCCATGCTGGCAGCATCCCAGGATGAGTGGCCGTGGCCCCGCTTGCAGAATCCCCATTAGTGACACACTCACAGGTGCTGCTTCCAGCTCCACGCTTGATGCAAGGGGACAATTCCTGCTTTTTCTGCTCTGCCTTGAAAATCAGATGGCTCCTTGCCTTGTTTTCTTATGCGGAAGAGCTGACACTTAGTCACATCATATCATGCCTGCCTCTCTTGTACACAAATAGGCTCAGGCCAAGCTCTCTCCCGGCTGCTCACAGCCCCAGTACTCAGCGTTAGGTGATGGGGAGCTCTGCCCTTCTGGGGAACCTGTGGCCAGGAGGGCCACACTGGAGCTCAGGGTCCCTGGGATCATCTAGCACTAGCAGCTGGCTGGGGCTCATACTTTTCCCACAGCAATTTGGGCTCAGCATCAGCTCTTGCAGCAACGCAGAGGTCTCTGCTCTGACTTCATGCCACTCATGACACAGCACGTGGCATCTCCGGGAGCCACCAATGGCTTTCACTATGCAACGCTCTCCTGCCGGCTGGGATTTGGCCAGCATGTGACAAGGAGGCACTCAACGGTGAAAGGTCTGAGGCTGTTCTCCTTTCTCTAAGACAGATTCTGGCTGCCCTGTGCCCAGCTCAGAAAAGCTGCTTACAGTCACTGGAGACCCAGCCTGGCCCCAGCAAGGCAAGCAAGACTGTGCAAAACAGTCTCCAGCCATTTGTTGCGCCTGTCTATGGAAGGGTGTGCTCCAATGCTAGCTACAAAACATGGAAATGATCCAGGAGGTGTTTATTTTTATTTTGATAAACCCTGAAATGGAGCTCAAGGGATTTCTTAGCTGGCATGGGGTTGACATAGACACTGGGGCAATTCCTGCTTCAGACACATGTATGGTGGGTAAACATAAAGCCACATCCCTCTACAGACAGCAGTTCCTCAGTTATTGCCCCTGAAACACTGCTGCATTTGCCCTTGTCTTTACAACAAGGACAAAGATTAATAACAATGACAGACCAGCAATTTTGGGGTACACTGAGGTCATCTCTGGGAGCCAAACACCCCAGCATGGGGACAGCCTCACCCACAGGCACCAGGGTGATTCTCCTGCAGTAAGATGGGGCTGTTGGATCCCACTGGGGACCAGGTGAAAGGGAAGGACCTGGGTATGGTCCATGCTGGCCCTGGCTGCTAAAGACTGAAATTCCCTCATGGTTTCTCACTGCTGGAGATGGAATCGCTGCCAGGCCCTGTGAAATGGGGGCAGCAATGACTGCTGCCTCTCCATGCAACCCTGCCAATACTCACCCTGCTCCTGCTGTGGGCTGAGGACAGAGGATGCTCTAAAGAATCCCTGAAAACAAGGCTTTTGCCTCTAAATTGGGCCTGCAGCGAGAAGCGCTCAGCTCAAAAAGGAAGCATCCCCTAGGCTGGTTTTGTCAGGCACGTCAGGGAAGCAGTGGGTGAGGCGGCAGCCCCAGATAACCTTCCGTCCACCCACCTCTATGATGCAGAGCCAAGGGGAAGAGGGAGATGACTAAAGGCAGAGAGGAACAGAATAATGAGTGATGCATCTTCCCCTGCAACACCGGCCACGCAGTGAGGCCGAGCCAACTGGCGTGGCAGCAAGGAGGAGGCAAGGTGTGCCATGGAGTGCTGCGGGCAGCCTCCTGCTCTGGTCATCCTCTATCAGCAGGGCTGTGCCTGCTTCTTGGAGCAAACCTTGGGCCAGCTTTTACTACTCCCTCTCCATCCCTGCTGCTCCCTGGATACCAGGGGAAAACTCTGTGTATTGGGTTTGTGTGGCAAGGTTTTG